ATCTCCGCTCGGCCACTTCCGGCCAGGCCTTCCCCCAGTGCGTGTTCGACCACTGGCAGGTCATCCAGGGCGACCCCCCTCGTCCCCCGGCAAGCCCCAGGAGATCGTCCTCGCCACCCGCAAGAGGAAGGGTCTCGCCCTCGAGATCCCGCCCCTCGACCGCTTCCTCGACAAGCTGTAAGCAGCGTCGACAACGACGGCCTCTCTCTTTGGCCCCGCCTCGCCTGCTGCCGCCCCCATTTTTGTCTCGACCAGCAAGCACGGCGACACATACACAGACCTCAAACAATAAAAAACAAAATAACCACATCCACATCCACATCCATCTTTATCTTCTCGCGCTCTTTCCTTCTCTCTTTGGCAAGCTGATGTTGCCAGACAAAAAAAAGATGTGAGATGCTTTGATTTTCTTTTACCCCATTTTTGGTCTATTTTACCTACCTTTTATTTGTTTGTCTGGATTGCAATCGCCTGGAAGCAACGAATTGAGCGAGGAAGTGAAGTTGTGCCGCCTCACTGCGCGCTACTACTCATTCGTCGTCCCATCCTTCTCATCGAGCGGTCCCCCCTTGAGAGCCAAGGACCCTGTAATTATATATAGAGCTACATCATGATTTCGGCCATATTTGTGCTCAATTCGAGGGGCGACGTTCTCATCTCTCGCCTTTTCAGAGATGACGTAAGGTACGGCTCATCTTCCTCGACCTCCTTCGAATCTCTATTCCTCCTCCTCTCTTCATTCGCTCACGACGCTCTTCCAGTCGTGGCGTGGCGGACACGTTTCGGCTGCAGGTCATCAACGCCAAGGAAGTGCGTTCGCCCATCTCCAGCATCAGCGGCACCTCGCTGCTTCACGTGCGGAGCGGCGACATCTACCTGCTCGCCGCCACGAAGCAGAACGTCGACTGCGCTCTCGTCTTCTCCCTCCTCAACCAGCTGGTCCTCATCTTCAGGTCCTACTTCGGCGGCAAGTTCGACGAAGACCACATCCGTAAGAACTTCGTTCTCATCTACGAGCTCTTGGACGGTGTGCCTCTCGCTCTTCCCTCCCTCTGTCGCGCGCGTGTGTGTCGTGTGTATGTGTGTCGTGTGTGTGTGTGTGGTGTCGTGTGCGTCGTGTCTCACATGGGTGGCGGTGACGGCGAACAGAGGTGATCGACTATGGGCATCCGCAGAACAGCGACATCGAGGCCCTCAAGCTCTACATCACGCAGGCCAAGAACAAGAACAAGCTCGCCGCCGTTGCTGTACGCCTTCTCGCCTCCTCCAAGCAACACGATTGACAACTCAACTCGTGCCCACTCCTGAGTAGCGTTTGTGTGCGCACTAATGGTGACACAAACCGCACACACCGCACACACCGCACACACACACGCACGCACTCACAGGCGGCCGACGACGACAAGATCAGGAAGATCACGGTACAGGTGACGGGCGCCGGACCCTGCCCCTGGAGGCAGCCCGGCATAAAGTACCGCAAAAACGAACTCTTCATCGACGTCATCGAATCCGTCAACCTCCTCATCTCCGCCAAGGGCAAGTTCCCCTGCGCTCCACCGCCACTGCGCCGAACGCCCAACGTTTCGAGTTCTGTGTTGACTTTTCTTCGGCTGACGATTGTGGCGCGCGCGGTGGGCGGCGGGC